AGCTGAAGACCATCAGCACTGAGGCAACAGGCAGGCCCGTTTATATAGTTTGTGCTTCTCCCGCGCACCCGTCCGCTAGTGCGTGTTTTCCAGTTGTTCAGAGTTTAAGTTTTCACGCATGCGCTGACGCCATCTTTTCCTTACATCTGCTGGCACCGCATTCTCTATCGCCTCTTGGCTTCAGCTCTGCTGGCTGCACAGCCCACACGTCATTAGCACTACATATCTCCTCTTTGAGGTCATCACTGCCTATGCCTCCTTGCACTCCTACCTTGTGTTCTCCCTTCTTAATTTTTAAAACAAGCAACTGATAAAAGAGTAGGAGGGAGGATTAGGGTGGAGCATGAACCGTCCTATTACACGTCTGCTTCCTGGCAAACCAATAAAACAATTCCTACCAGAGAACTTCCTGTATAGAATTACATCACTTCCCTCAGATGGTAGCCCTGCCATCATCACCTCTTTCTAGTGCTGGAGAACTGACTGGGCACAGAGATGATATGAAATATGGACGATGCAAAAGGTAACAGATTTACAAATATTAATAAACAATTTTTAAAGCGGAAATCCAGGTTTTTTTTCCCATTCTGAGAATGGACGAGGAGAGGGGAGAGGAGGGGCGGGCAAGTGACAGGATCTGCCCTGGTCCATTCACAGGACGCCTTGCATTCTGCAAGAAGAATACAAGGCTTTCGCTGAATGGATGAGGGGAGAAGAAATGGCGACTATACGTCAGATTCCCGAACTGAAACTCAATCACAGCGCTGGAGGAAGAGCGCTGACACCAGTATCCAGGAAGAATAAAACAAAGATTTGTACAGTGACCATCAGCGAGAGCGGGGCGTGGGATAATCTTTATTAGCGGTTCCCTATTTATATTGTGCTGCTTCAAAAAACATTTTCTCCTAGCGTTCGACTTCCATTCCTCTCCTTTGTTATCCCATCTAACATTACCCGTGTAAGGAGGCTGTTGTGAGCGGTTATTGCTCCCTATCTCATGTCAAAGCACTACAGCAATCCCTACATTGCAGCAGTGAAAACTCAGACTGGACATCCGACATTTAAAGGGAAAGGTGTTTTTTCTGTCTGCAGACAGTGACATCATCCCTCCTTATCCTAATGGCTGAAACTATTTAAAAAGCGGCTGTCTAGGAGTGGCCAGAGAGCTGTGACATGAGAGAGAGAAAAAAGAATTCACAGCAGTCTCCATGCACAGACCCTGTTAGATGGCATAGCAAACAGCAATGGCATGGCTCCCTTTTATACCAGGGGTAGGCAACCTCGACACTCCAGCTGTTGTAAAACTACAAGTCCCATGAGGCATTGCAATACACTGACAGCCAAAGGCAGGATGGGATTTGTAGGTTTGCTAGAGCCGAGTCGAGCGGGCCAAGGTTGACTACCCCTGCTTGATACAATATATATCCTTGCTGCATTACTGATATCAGACTAGAATGGATGTCTGCAGGGCCAGATTTACTCTCTCTGCTGCCCCAATGCCAGGTTCCTCAATGCGCCTCCTATATGCAAGCTGCATACAAGTGATCTCGGTGACATCGCCGGGGTCACTTGTACAAAACAAGCGGCGGCTTCCCCCGCTGTACATTTAGCTCTGCTTGCCCAAAGCAGGGCTAATTGTAGAAAACAACAACCTGCCTGCGCCAGGAACTACATGTCCCAGGCATCAGGAGATAGGAATTCTTCTACACCCCTGCTGCCCCTCTATCCAGCGCTGGATGTCTGCATGTCTAACTTTGAAGAGGGGGCTTATGCAACATTCATCAATTTTCATGAGTTCTGAAATCTTAATTAGTGTATAGATGATGCAATATTCTGGCTTTACCACAGAAGGCAACCAATCAGCTTCTCTCTTTCATTCTCAAATCTTAACTGAACAAACTGAAGAGAGAAGCTCGGGCCAGTGTAAACACTGCTTGTTTACATGCAGCTAGTCTGCAATCTGCACTGTAACTGCAGGCCCGGACTCAGGACACTACAGCAACCTATCTTGCTCCATTTCATGTTTTGTCTTCATGACAGCAGCGATAAGTGGCGATTCCTCTACTGCATGTTAACGCATCAAGGGACGGTACTTGGATATAGGATTAATAGGCTTAATGGCTCTTTAGGATGCTGGCTGGAGTTCTGCTTTAAATTGTGATTGGAGAAGGACATGGCAGCTGGTGTGTGTCGTGTCTGCCGCACAGCTCCTGTCACTGCGATCATCGAAGTCAAACATCCACTTGAGCTTTAATTACCCCTGTTCCTCTGAGGAGTAGCTAAGGGGAAGACTGTTCTCCAACATACAGCAAAGGAATAGGGGTCTGTGCCCCAGAATACATCAGAGGAACAGGGGTAGTGGGGACTGTGCTCCACAATCCAGGCAGAGGAACAGGGGTAGGGGAACTGCGCCCCAGAATCCAGCAGAGGAACAGGGGTAGGGGGAACTGTGCCCCAGAATCCAGCAGAGGAACAGGGGTAGTGGGGAACTGTGCTCCTAAATCCAGCAGAGGAACAGGGGTAGTGGGGAACTGTGCTCCACAATCCAGCAGAGGAACAGGGGTAGTGGGGACTGTGCCCTAGAATCCATCAGAGGAACAGGGGTGGTGGGGAACAGTGCTCCTAAATCCAGCAGAGCAACAGGGGTAGGGGGAACTGTGCCCCAGAATCCATCAGAGGAACAGGGGTGGTGGGGAACTGTGCTCCACACTCCAGCAGAGGAACAGGGGGAGTGGGGACTGTGCTCCTAAATCCAGCAGAGGACCAGGGGTAGTGGGGACTGTGCTCCTAAATCCAGCAGAGGACCAGGGGTAGTGGGGACTGTGCTCCTAAATCCAGCAGAGGACCAGGGGTAGTGGGGACTGTGCTCCTAAATCCAGCAGAGGACCAGGGGTAGTGGGGACTGTGCTCCTAAATCCAGCAGAGGACCAGGGGTAGTGGGGACTGTGCTCCTAAATCCAGCAGAGGACCAGGGGTAGTGGGGACTGTGCTCCTAAATCCAGCAGAGGACCAGGGGTAGTGGGGACTGTGCTCCTAAATCCAGCAGAGGACCAGGGGTAGTGGGGACTGTGCTCCTAAATCCAGCAGAGGACCAGGGGTAGTGGGGACTGTGCTCCTAAATCCAGCAGAGGACCAGGGGTAGTGGGGACTGTGCTCCTAAATCCAGCAGAGGACCAGGGGTAGTGGGGACTGTGCTCCTAAATCCAGCAGAGGACCAGGGGTAGTGGGGACTGTGCTCCTAAATCCAGCAGAGGACCAGGGGTAGTGGGGACTGTGCTCCTAAATCCAGCAGAGGACCAGGGGTAGTGGGGACTGTGCTCCTAAATCCAGCAGAGGACCAGGGGTAGTGGGGACTGTGCTCCTAAATCCAGCAGAGGACCAGGGGTAGTGGGGACTGTGCTCCTAAATCCAGCAGAGGACCAGGGGTAGTGGGGACTGTGCTCCTAAATCCAGCAGAGGACCAGGGGTAGTGGGGACTGTGCTCCTAAATCCAGCAGAGGACCAGGGGTAGTGGGGACTGTGCTCCTAAATCCAGCAGAGGACCAGGGGTAGTGGGGACTGTGCTCCTAAATCCAGCAGAGGACCAGGGGTAGTGGGGACTGTGCTCCTAAATCCAGCAGAGGACCAGGGGTAGTGGGGACTGTGCTCCTAAATCCAGCAGAGGACCAGGGGTAGTGGGGACTGTGCTCCTAAATCCAGCAGAGGACCAGGGGTAGTGGGGACTGTGCTCCTAAATCCAGCAGAGGACCAGGGGTAGTGGGGACTGTGCTCCTAAATCCAGCAGAGGACCAGGGGTAGTGGGGACTGTGCTCCTAAATCCAGCAGAGGACCAGGGGTAGTGGGGACTGTGCTCCTAAATCCAGCAGAGGACCAGGGGTAGTGGGGACTGTGCTCCTAAATCCAGCAGAGGACCAGGGGTAGTGGGGACTGTGCTCCTAAATCCAGCAGAGGACCAGGGGTAGTGGGGACTGTGCTCCTAAATCCAGCAGAGGACCAGGGGTAGTGGGGACTGTGCTCCTAAATCCAGCAGAGGACCAGGGGTAGTGGGGACTGTGCTCCTAAATCCAGCAGAGGAACAGGGGTAGTGGGGAACTGTGCTCCACAATCCAGCAGAAGAACAGGGGTAGTGGGGACTGTGCTCCTAAATCCAGCAGAGGAACAGGGGTAGTGCAGAGGACATGGCAGCGGTGATCGTCGTGTCTGCTCGAGTTCCTGTCACTGCGATCACCAAAGTCAAAAATCCACTTTAGCTTCCATTAACGGATCATTAATGACTAAGTGTGTTCCAAGGCTTCCGTCAATGGCAGAAGCATTTTCTAAATGCTGCCGTGTCACAGTATAAAGTCCCCGAACGTTAACTCTTACATGCCAAGTTTTGTTTTTTGACGTGCTCAGTGAACAGGCACATTATGGACTTCATGCGACTTCACATTATGGAGCATTCATGAAACATATATATATATAACGTATATCCATCCAATGGAGGCAACTTTCTAACTGCCTGTAGGGAGCGGCAGAAGACAACTTTCTGAGACAGAGATAACCAAAAACACTAAGTAGTTGAATCTTTTACTACTGCCCCCAGCAGAGGAGGAGTTCCAGTAGACTCTGACCTGAGGTGTCAGGAGGTTTGTAGTAGAGTGGAGGAGACTTGTCTGTCACCCGGCTGAAGAGCAGAAATACTACAAGACTGTGCACATGGACACTACGGAGGAGAAGCTAAGGTGAAGACTGTTCTCCAACATCCAACAGAGGAACAGGGGTAGTTGGGTCTGTGCCCCAGAATTCAGCAGAGGAATATGAGTAGTGGGGACTGTGAATAAGAATCTGGCAGAGGAACAGGGATAGTGGGAACTGTGCCCCAGAATACAGCAGAGGAACCACAATAGAGGGCACTGTGCCCCAGAACCCGACAGAGGAACAGGGATAGTAGGATTGTGCTCCACAATCCAGCAGAGGAACAGGGGTAGTGGGGACTGTGCCTCAGAATCCGACGGAGGAAAAGGGGTAGTGGGGACTGTGCTCCACAATCCAGCAGAGGAACCACAATAGTGGGCACTGTGCCCCAGAATCCGGCAAAGGAACCACAATAGTGGGCACTGTGCCCCAGAATCCGGCAGAGGAACCACAATAGTGGACACTGTGCCCCAGAATCCAGCAAAGGAACAAGGCTAGTGGGGGCTGTGCCTCAGAATCTAGCAGAGGAACCACAATAGTGGGCACTGTGCCACAGAATCCGGCAGAGGAACCACAATAGTGGGCACTGTGCCCCAGAACCCAGCAGAAGAACAGGGGTAGTGGGCACTGTGCCTCAGAACCCAGCAGAGGAACCACAATAGTGGGCACTGTGCCCCAGAATCCAGCAGCAGAAGAAGGGTATTGGAGACGGTGCCTCAGAATCCAGTGGATTGATGGATGTTCTGGAGCTCTTGCTGGGCTCGGCAGCCCTGGTTGCCTGCACAGTGCTGCTCTGTGAGTTGCTTCGCTGGGCATGCCACCGGAGTCTGCCTCCAGGTCTGGGGCTAGAGCTGGCCTTGGAAGTGGTGTCCACTGTGCAGCTGTGCTGCTGTACCCTGGAGATGGGTCTGCTCTGCGCAAAGGCAGATTTGGACCTCTGGCTGGTACTAGCTCTGATCTACCTGCTGACTGTGCTGCATTGTATGACTTTCCAAACAGCCACTTGTAACCCCTGTGGTAGTGTAAATCAGTGGCTGCGGGGCCTGGCGCCGGGGTCACACACTCTCCTGAAGGTGATGGTGCAGTTTGCAGGCGCTGGACTCTCTCGGGTGCTCATGCCCCACCTCTGGTCATTGGGACTGTCACCGCTGCACCAGCTGAACAAGGACTGCATGAGCCCCCTGCAAGTATCCCCTCTGTCTGGGGCCTTAGTGGAGATGACCTGTGCTCTGAGCATGTTCCTGATTCTGTACCCTCTTCCCAGGGTCAGTGCTCCTCTGCAGCCTCATATGGCGGCTCTGACCATCACTGGAATTGCCTATGCAGGTAAGGAAGGGGCTGGGGGGGGGGGTTATTGATCATATGAGGGCTACATACGTGTTCTGTAGTACTGTACTCTTATTGATTGGATGTTTTATTGAAAAGAACCCATCACTCCATTGCAACCCTTGGTAAATACCCAGTACTTCTAGGTATCGGAAGGCCTCCTCCGAGGATACAGTGCTCGGGCCAACTGCCAGGCCTGAATACCATCACCTGATGAGGAGGAGTTTGAAGTTAACCCTGTGTAAGCTCTGACACCATCCAAAACAGAGCTTACAGAAGGTCAGGTCTCAGACATTGGGTGGGTGGGGGCTGTTCCTTTAAGATCAGATTACCCTCAATGGACAACGTGCCAGAGTCTCTTTAATGTAAATTTGGTGGGTTTTGTGTCGCCAAATTCCATACAAATATTTTTTTTAAAAGTAACCCGTGTCACGGGGCGGCCATAACAATGTAATATTTGTTTGGCCTCTCGTCATAAGACATCCTGAAAAGTCAATTAATTTCCTCCTCCACCGGAAGAAGAAGAAATGGATGTGTGATGTGTGATATAAACATTTTACCTGCCAAAGGGATCTGTTCAGCCAGTCTTGTCATTTACAGGTATCTGCCACACGGCATAGTCAGGCAGGTCACACACACTTAGGTACTTGGCAGAAGCGTAGTCAGAGATCAAGCCGAGGTCAGTAGCCAAAGGTATCAGGTATGAAGTGGAAGACGATGAGAGTAGTCGGTGAATCAGCAGCCAAAGGTCGCTACACGGGGAGCAGTATGAGCGGATTGTATCACAGAGGGAGCAGGAAGCAAGATATTGTCAGGAGCACAATAATCTGGAAAACAGGAAGTGCAGAGGCGTGGCTTAAATAGGAAGTTCAAGGGAGGAACAGGGAGTTCAGCAGAAACTCGGTTTACCTGAGGACTACACAGGAGATCAGGCAAGGAGCTATCCAAGGTTCTAAGGTGGCTCAGCAGGTAGAACCACTGCTAGCATCAGCCGAGGCCCCGGGTTCAGATCTGGATCCTGACAGTGTGATTAGTACGCAGCCCCCGTCCTTCTCTATGGGACTACGTGGCCGTATGCCGCCCTACACTCACCACAAGTGCAGATCCATACGGGTGCAGGTGTCCTCCTGGCTTGGACGCAGACAGGATCCATCCTGTCAGTGTACAAGTACAGACACCCGTATGGATGTGCAGGGCAGGTGAGCGTCGGGGGGGCATACGGCCACGTACTCCCATAGAGAAGGATGGGGGCTGCGTACTAATCACACGCAGCACCTGTCCTTCCTGGGAGCTGCTTGATACGGCTGTGCACGCACCACGGAGCTGTATGTGCCGGCTGTTTCTCGTGTGAATGAGGCCTCACAGTTTTAGATTTAAGATGAATTATCAGTACATGATCTATGTGCCATAATTATCTGGACACGAGGAATTCTTAATGAAGGTGAAATGGTAAAACAGGAAAAGTGACCCTTGGTTTGGACAAAAACTAGAGCAGCATTGCCTTAGGCAAAGTACTCAATGAACAGGTGCAGATAAGAGACAAGAATGACAAGATGTATTCCACACTTCCACCATACCCTACGGCCTTCTCCTCATTCAAAGCCCATCCCCAAGGACACCTTATTGGAATGTAGAAGTTTGGTCTTTGACTGTATTTCACTATGTTGCATTTGGCTAGAGTCAGTGTCACTACTGGTAGCATGAGGCGATACCTGGACCCCATAGAGGTTGCACAGGCATGCCAACTCATCCAGGATGGCACATCAATATGTGCCATTGCTAGAAGGTTTGCTGTGTCTCCCAGCACAGTCTCAGGAGCATGGAGGAGATTCCGGGACACAGGCAGTTACTCTAGGAGAGCTGGACAGGGCCGTAGAAGGTCCTTAACCCATCAGCAGGACCAGTGTCTGCTCCTTTGTGCAAGGAGGAACAGGATAAGCACTGCTAGAGCCCTACGAAATGGTCTCCAGAAGGCCACTGGTGTGAATGTCTCTGACCAAACAATCAGAAACAGACTTCATGAGGGTGGCCTGAGGACCCGATGTACTCTAGTGGGCCCCGTGCTCACTGCCCGGCACCGTGGAGGTCGATTGGCATTTGCCATTGAACACCAGAATTGGCAGGTCCGTCACGGGCACCCTGTGCTTTCCACAATGAGAGCAGGTTCACCCTGAGCACATGTGACAGACGTGAACGGGTCTGGAGAAGCCGCAGAGAACGTTATGCTGCCTGTAACATCGTTCAGCATGACCGGTTTGGTGGCGAGTCAGTGATGGTCTGGGGAGGCATATCCATGGGGGGACGCACAGACCTCTACAGGCTAGACAATGGCACCCTGACTGCCATTAGATATCGGGATGAAATCCTTGGCCCCATTGTCAGACCCTACGCTGGTGCCAGTGGGTCCTGGGTTCCTCCTGGTGCACGACAATGCCCGGCCTCATGTGGTGAGAGTATGAAGCCAGTTCCTTGAGGATGAAGGAATTGATACCATTGAATGGCCCCCCACCCTCGCCTGACCTGAATCCAATAGAACACCTCTGGGGACATTATGTCTCTGTCCATCCGACGCCGCCAGGCTGCACCTCAGTCTGTTCGGGAGCTCAGTGATGCCCTGGTCCAGATCTGGGAGGAGATACCCCGGGACACCATCCGTCGTCTCATTAGGAGCATGCCCCGACGTTGCCCTGATGAGGACCATTCTGAGTTGCTGCAATGAAATGTCAGCACAATGGACGAGCCTGCGGCATCATTTCTTCACTTTGATTGTTGGGGTGTCTTTGAATTCAGCCCTCTGCAGGCCGATCATTTCTCATTTCCATCAAACGATGCGGCATCCTTTCC